TAATGTATGAGCATATATATATGATATAATATAGGATGTAAATTTGGCCTGGCATTCACTTGGCCCGAGACACTGGCACGAGATGGCATTCACTTGGTCCCGGACACTGGCATGGCATGGCCCATCTTTCACTTGGTCCAGGACACTGGCATGGCCCGACATTCACTTGGCCCGAGACACTGGCATGGCCCGACATTCATTTGGCCCGAGACACTGGCATGGCCTGACATTCACTTGGTCCCGGACACTAGCATGGCCTGACATTCACTTGGTCCAGGACACTGGCATGGCATTACATTTTCTTGGTCCAGGACACTGGCATGGCCTGACATTCACTTGGCCCGAGACACTGGCACAAGATGGCATTCACTTGGTCCTGGACACTGGCATGACATGGCCCGACATTCACTTGGTCCAGGACACTGACATGGCCCGACATTCACTTGGCCCGAGACACTGGCATGGCCTGACATTCACTTGGTCCCGAACACTGGCATGGCCTGACATTCACTTGGCCCAGGACACTGGCATGGCATGACATTCACTTGGTCCCGAACACTGGCATGGCCTGGAATTCACTTGCCAGAGACACTGGCATGGCCTGACACTCACTTGGTCCTGGACACTGGCATGGCCTGGCATTCACTTGGTCCCAGACACTGGCATGGCCTGGCATTCACTTGGTCCCGGACACTGGCATGGCCTGGCATTCACTTGGTCCCGGACACTGGCATGGCCTGGCATTCACTTGGTCCGGGACACTGGCATGGCCTGGCATTCACTTGGTCCCGGACACTGGCATGGCCTGACATTCACTTGGTCCAGAACACTGGCATGGCATGACATTCACTTGGCCCCGAACACTGGCATGGCATGGCATTAACTTGATCCCGGACACTGGCATGGCATGGCATTCACTTGGTCCCGGACACTGGCATGGCCTGGCATTCACTTGGTCCCGGACACTGGCATGGTCTGGCATTCACTTGGTCCCGGACACTGGCATGGCATGACATTCACTTTGTTCCCGGACACTGGCATAGCATGACATTCACTTGTTTCCGATACACTGGCATGGCCTGGCATTCACTTGGCCCCGAGACACTGGTATGGTCTGACATTCACTTGGTCCCGGACACTGGCATGGCCTGGCATTCACTTGGTCCCGGACACTGGCATGGCCTGGCATTCACTTGGTCCCGGACACTGGCATGGCATGGCCTGACATTCACTTGGTCCCGGACACTGGCATGGCCTGACATTCATTTGGTCCAGGACACTGGTATGGCATGACAGTCACTTGGTCCCGGACACTGGCATGGCCTGGCATTCACTTGGTCCAGGACACTGGCATGGCATGACCCGGCGTTCACTTGTTCTGAGAAACTGGCATGATCTGGCATTCACTTGGGCACAGAGACACTGGCATGGTCTGGCATTCACTTGGTCCAGGACACTGGCATGGCATGACGTTCACTTGGTCCCGGACACTGGCATGGCCTGGCATTCACTTGGCCCGAGACACTGTCATGGCATGACATTCACTTGGTCCCAGACACTGGCATGGCCTGGCATTCACTTGGCCCGAGACACTGGCATGGCATTCGCTTGGTCCCAGACACTGGCATGGCCTGGCATTCACTTGGCCCGAGACACTGTCATGGCATGACATTCACTTGGTCCCAGACACTGGCATGGCCTGGCATTCACTTGGCCCGAGACACTGGCATGGCATTCGCTTGGTCCCAGACACTGGCATGGCCTGGCATTCACTTGGCCCGAGACACTGGCATGGCAAGGCATACACTTGGCCTTAGACACTGGCATGGCCTGACATTCACTTGGTCCCGGTCACTGGCATGGCCTGACATTCACTTGGTCCCGGACACAGGCATGGCATGGCATGACATTCACTTGGTCCCAATACACTGGCATGGCCTGGCATTCACTTGGCCTGAGACACTGGCATGGCCTGACATTCACTTGGTCCTGGACACTGGCATGGCATGGCATTCACTTGGTTCCGGACACTGGCATGGCCTGACATTCACTTGGTCCAGGACACTGGCATGGCATGACATTCACATGGCCCCAGACACTGGCATGGCATGGCATTCACTTGGTCCCGGACACTGGCATGGCATGGCATTCACTTGGTCCAGGACACTGGCATGGCCTGGCATTCACTTGGTTCCAGACACTGGCATGGCCTGACATTCACTTGGTATTGGACACTGGCATGGCTTGGCCTGGCATTCACTTGTCCCGAGACACTGGCATGGTCTGGCATTCACTTGGGCCCAGAGACACTGGCATGGTCTGGCATTCACTTGGTCCCTGACACTGGCATGGCATGACATTCACTTGGCTCAGGACACGAGCATGGCCTGGCAATCACTTTGCCCGTGATTCATTCACTTCACTGGGTCAGAGACACTGACTTTCACTTGGCACGGGATACTGGCATGGCCTGGCATTCACTTGGTCCGGGACACTGGCATGGCCTGGCATTTACTTGGCCAGAGACACTGGCATTGCCTGGCATAGGAAAATGGCATGGCATGAAATGGCATTTAGTTAGAATTAAGGTTGATACAAGACACAGGCATCCTCTGCTGTAATTCAATTCCTGGTGCACTGCCATGTTATGCGTTTTGTTGATTCTATGGCACACAAAGTGTATAAATTTTATCAAAAATGCATGATTTTTTTTCCATTTTTATTTATTATATATTTATACATATATTAACAAACATATACACATATTCAAACATTTGTTTTGAAACATGCTCTGTACCCACAATTATTAAAAACTTACAAATATTAATAAAATTAATGTTAACTAAAAAACAAAAATAAATTTCCGAAAAATCACAATTCTTTTTTTTAATATATATCTGATATAAACATATATTCACATATCATATAGTATATTGGACAACCATATTCATAAACTTTAAAATTAGAAAACTTCTGTGAATTGCATTAATTATCAATCTCATGTATAGATATATATATATATACACACATGTACATAGAAGTGTACCAATATCATTACATACATATTACATAGAATGGTTTTATTGCATCCGTTTAAAGAAACTTTTGTCTTCGCTGTTAGTGCCATAAGATAATCAGCAGTCTTTATTAAAATGTTGCAACATTAACATTTAGTTAAAACCCCGTAATATCACAAGAAATTTATGAATTATGACTGGTGTGGCAGTATTCACAGTAGCTGTGGATCGTAATTATCAGTGCCATTCCCACCAGAACACATACCCATATAGACTGTTGTGAAATTGAGGTGTACAAAAATATTCCAAACTCAGAAATACTTTGCAATACTTTTTGTAAGCATTTCAGTGACTTCTTGTGAGGTAAGCTCAGTAACTTACAAAATTTATTTCTTGCTAAACTATTTTAATAATTCATGAATAATGCCCAACGTTTATAAAATAAGAGTATGTAACTTTGATTTCTATGTAGAGTGATATCATTCTCCTTTCCAGAGTTCCTTGCTATTAGAACATGGAAAGTAGCTCTACCAGACAACCATTTTGTGGTGAAACACCACAAGACTTTTGCCACACATAACTTGTCATGTTTTTTTTTTTTTTCTTCTTTTTGATAAAGAAGTTTTAGAATATATTATCGATAGCTGATAATGATTTTTATGTAAATCAAAGAAAAGGGTGAAATAGTTGAAAAAGAAAAGAAAATTCACTGTGGAAAATGCTAAGGTTGATCAAGTTGATTGTCTTGTTGATTTCCAGGCAAATAAATATAAACAAATGAAAGCACTTGGTAGGCTAAATCAAAAATGAGCTTTTCACTTTGAAAAAGCCAAAATCTAAAAACATTGTGTACACTTTCGCTGAATTCGAATATTGAACAGCAGCATTGCAATGTTTGGATGGATAAATTTATAAAATTACTATCATTTTGATGCATCAACCATTCATTGGCAATATATTCGTATAAACAGAATGTTGCATGGTAGATATGGATGAAGATTTTGAGAGACCATCATCTTGTGAATTCAATCAAACATATTTTAACCAGTGACATTACAAAATCCATGAATGAGATGAGCAAGATTTTGCCAACTTCAAAAAATTTTCGAATAAACACAAACAGCACTTTCCACAACTTTCACAGAATGAATAATATAAATCATTGCTAATATCTACCAGGTATGTACTATACGATTATTACGAGAATGCACGAAGACAGTCAGCTGGAGTATCGACTGACACGCAGCAGAGGTCGATGCACGGCGTACTGTCTGAGTGCATACTTTGAGGTTACTTCATAATAACCTTATTATTATACAACTTTTCCTTCCAAGGATACATCATGGGAATGCTGAAATCTAAAATGTTTAAAACAGAATCAGCGAACTTCTTTGTGTGGAGTCCGGTCAAACTCTGGTTGCAGCCATGTTTGTTTTTATTATTAGTGGACGCTTACGTGTGTAATCATTCCATATTTGGAATTCGCATTTCCTAATATGGTAAGGATGAAGATACTCTGTAAAATACCACAAAATTACAGCACAATGTAACTTATGGCGTTACGGTGACAGATGTATAATAATAATTATTATTATTACATATGTGACATATTTAATGGAATAAGTATGTGCAGAGAATGTGTTCTAATTGTTCAAATTTCAACCATTTGCTCAAACATACAATGAAACAATGTTTTTTTGCTATTTTCGGGAGCGAACGCCACCTGACAACCATCCTTGATGAAAACAACAGTAGAAAACTCTCAGAAAACTGCTTTGAGCAGTTCAAGAAGATTACCCCCCACATATGCAACATATATAAATTTGGTTGTTCAGGATTACTTCAAAGTTGCATTTGTGCTGTTTCCTTGACTTTAGCTGTTTTCACCGGCTCTAAGACCGGTGTTTCACAGCAGTTCAGCAACATATTTCAGCGGTGTTCGTCTTCATGCAGCACTGTATATTTTCAGAAGCAGTGGGTTATTCAGAAGATTACAGCTCCGGATCCTTTCTTCCTATCATCAGCATATGCAGATATCTTATCGTTTGTCATCATTATCGCCATTAATTCATTCCCTACTGGTTCTTGAATGCTTATATTATGTCCTTTTGTTTTCAACTCATCAACAATTGTCTTAGAAAGCTTTGCTGTGAAAATAGACACATATCAATGGTTGGATTATTAACAAACTTCTATTTACAACTAGGGTAATCGATAATGGTTGAATTGTTTTGCCTAGAGAGGGTTGGGGGAGTGTGGGTAATATTTATAATTTATTTGATTTGTCAAAGTCAAAGTTGAACCAAAATGTGACACATTGCAAACTCCACCTCCCATGGTCTTACCCTTAGTACTGTCTTACCCTTATTAAATTCAATACATGGTACCTATAGAAGCACCCCACTCTTACCACATTGATACCAATGGGAACGCCCAACCATCAACACCCTGAAACCTAATTAACACATGTTACTTAAGGGAGTATCACACCCACTGATACCCAAATAAGGTTACCTATTGTACCTCACCCATACCCAAATAATACCAAACACATGTTACTTGAGGGAGTATCACACCCACTGATACCCAAATAAGGTTACCTATTGTACCTCACCCATACCCAAATAATACCGAACACATGTTACTTAAGGGAGTATCACACCCACTGATACCCAAATAAGGTTACCTATTGTACCTCACCCATACCCAAATAATACCAAACACATGTTACTTAAGGGAGTATCACACCCACTGATACCCAAATAAAGTTACCTATAGTACCTCACCCATACCCAAATAATACCGAACACATGTTACTTAAGGGAGTATCACACCCACTGATACACAAATAAGGTTACCTATTGTACCTCACCCATACCCAAATAATACCGAACACATGTTACTTAAGGGAGTATCACACCCACTGATACCCAAATAAAGTTACCTATTGTACCTCACCCATACCCAAATAATACCGAACACATGTTACTTAAGGGAGTATCACACCCACTGATACCCAAATAAAGTTACCTATTGTACCTCACTCATACCCAACTTATACCTAACACATGCTACTTACGAGTATCCAACTCCACTCCAATGATATGATACCTTTGATACACATGGTACTTATGGTACCCACCATTAACCCAGATAGCATGTTATCTTTATGAGTACACCCATCCTTAACCCACTTATATATAACACATGCTTTTTATGAAGGTACCCCACCCTAAACCCACTTATACCTACATGAAACCTATTGAAGTACCTACCATAAACCCACATGCTACCTATCCGAGTAATCTGATGATACCCAATATGTGTTATCTTAATTCTGATTCACTGATATCTGTACATGGCTAACCATCTTGGAGCAATTTTCTACAGTATAACAAAATTTTTTTTTTGTGTGTTGAAAGTTTTACTTTCGCTTGGAATTAATTAATCCAGCGAAAATACCTTTTTTCCTATACTTTACATTCAATTCAAAAATTAGTGAAAATAAATTCCATACAAAACAAGATATGTCATGGCCCCCGCTCAGAAAAAAATTTATAAACTTATATTGAACTGGGTTTGTGTCAGAGTGAATTAATTCATTGTGAGCTGTATTAAAATTCTGTTATTAATTGTTCAGAATTGATGTGTTACAATTTTAGGGGGTGGGGTAAAAATTTATTCATTTGGCTTTTCTGAGACAATTTATAACTTGTTAAACATATAATGCGATGTGCACTTGTAAACAATTATTACCTGTCCCTGTACCAACTTTGAACAAAACTGGATGACACATATCTGAGAGAAAGCTGATAACAGCTAGAAAAAGCTTGTTTTGTTTTTTTTTAGATTTTTGAGGGAAAAAATAGCCTCCAAGTCGTAAAAATTTATCCAATCAAACAGGTCATGAATGACACTGCCTTCACTTGT